CAAGGCTCGCCGCAGTTTGAGCGGACATCTCCCCGTCATAAACCCAGATGTTGCTGCATGCCGCTTGATGGCCATTGCTTCATACTTGTTTAAAACGCTCAAGTCATTTGAGATCGAGTTTCTCGTTCCACAGTGCTGTAGTCAACTATCAGATTGTACTCCAGCAGTCTTATGGTTATCCTATGTCGTTGGATGACTATTTCTGCTAAGAAGTGAATGATTTTAGCGTATCATATCATGGAAAGAACATTTCTGGGAGAGCGGGGGTTACCTGTGGCTGAGCATTTATTGGGGGCCTGAGGCTGCGAGTTTGTAGTGCAAGAAGTGGCGCCAGCTTTAAATGAGAACCGCGTGAGTTGCCGACTGCCGCGCGCAACGCGAAAGTCCAAACTCCAAAAAAGGGCACACCTCAGAGTGAAGCTCAGCAGCCGATAGCTATTTGACCTCAGACTACACTTTCATCACCGGATACAGTATCGCGATTTTACTCTCTCGTCGTCGACACCGAAATCAGGAATTGTGAAATTACATTCAAGGGCGAATTGCTCTTAAAACCCCTCCACAATGTGAGCTACCTTTGTCGCACTCGCTCTCTTTGACTCGTTATACTCAACTCATTCATAGGGAGGCTTTTGACAACATCTACCTCGACCTTTCAAAGCAGCCCGGAAAATGCAAGCTCGCTGAGAGTGGTTTGGGATGGCGCCCTTCTGGCGGAGGTGATACGTTCACACTTGATAGCAACAATATCGGAGCAGCTCAATGGAGCCGGGCAGCGAAGGGATATGAGCTGAAAATCCTATCGCGCTCATCGGGTGTTATTCAATTAGACGGATTTGACCAAGAGGTATGACACGTGGCGAAAACCAACCTTAATGGTAGATCTGGGGACTGTTTTATTGACTTTGCGGATTTGAATAGGACTTCGAACGCTTGAGCAAGGCGTTCAAGATTTGGTACGGCATCAATGTTGAGAATCGCGAGCATGCACTACGAGGGTGGAATTGGGGTAAAGCAGAATTTACAAAGGCAGAACTCGCTTTCAACGTTCAGAATCGACCTGCATTTGAAATCCCGTATTCGGAAATCTCGAACACAAACCTGGCGGGAAAGAATGAGGTCGCAGTCGAGTTCGCCCTTACATCAGACGGCGATGCCAATGCCCAATCTTCTGGAAGCACAAAGAACCGCGGTCGGAAAGCTGCCGCGGGCCCGGATGAGTTAGTCGAGATGCGTTTCTACATCCCGGGGACGGCAGTCAAGACAGAGAAGGGCATTAAGACAGAAAATGATGAAGAGAACGGAGAAGAAGAGGAAGAAGGCGAAGAACAGAATGCAGCCAATCTCTTTTATGAGACTCTTATGGAGAAGGCAGAGATTGGCGATGTCGCCGGTGACACCTTTGCTACGTTCCTTGATGTCCTTCATCTTACACCCAGGTACGTCTCTTCGTTGAACGCGCTTTGCCGCCGTTGCATGCTAAGGAACTCTGCAGAGGTCGCTTTGATATCGACATGTACGAATCATCATTCCGACTTCGCGGCAAAACATACGACTATAAGATTCAATACGCCTCTATCAAGAAATTCTTCCTGCTTCCTAAGAACGACGAGATGCACACACTCATTGTATTAGGTCTTGACCCTCCTCTACGGCAAGGTCAGACTCGGTATCCTTTCCTGGTTATGCAGTTGAAGCTGGATGAAGAAATCAGCCTGGAGCTCAACATGACAGAGTCAGTCCTCACCGAAATGTCGTTTTGATGTCGAACTTGGAACTAATTATCTGTAGGGAGCTATTGGAATCCCGCTACAAGGATAAGCTGGAACCTCGTTACGAAGAGCCGATTCATCAAGTCGTCACCAAGATCTTCCGTGGCCTGTCTGGCAAGAAAGTCATCATGCCATCAAAGGACTTTGTCAGGTCAGTCATACTTATCCTTGGCAGTTCACCTGACCCGTGCTGACTACGTACAATAGCCACCACGGACACAGCGGAGTCAAATGCTCAATCAAAGCCAACGAAGGTCTTTTGTACTTCTTGGACAAGAGCTTGATTTTCGTACCCAAGCCCGCTACTTACGTGCAGATTGAGAATATTGCTGTTATCACCATGTCCCGTGTCGGTGGCGCCGTGTCCGCAAGTAGAACATTCGATATTACGGTCACATTGAAGGCTGGATTGGGTGAACACCAGTTTAGTAACATCAACCGGTATGCCATTTCCAGAACTACATGCCACTAGTGTCACTAATACGTCCCACAGTGAGGAACAACAACCACTTGAGGAATTCTTCAAGGCCAAGAACATTCGGTTCAAGAACGAGATGTCAGATGATGTATGTCTACTCGGACAACAACCCACAACTTTCTGGTCATTAGATGCTAATATATTGCAACAGACATCGGCACTTATTGCCGCTGCCCTTGACAACGATGACATGATGTCTAGTGATGAGGATGGCGGGCGGGCCGATCGCGGCTCAGCAGATGAGGATGAAGAATCTGTTGACGAAGACTTCCAGGCAGAGTCTGATTCAGATGTTGCCGAAGAATTTGATTCTGAGCACGAAAGCAGTGGCAGCGCAAGTGACGCAGAGATGGATGATGCTGGCGACGACGAGGAAGATGTGGACATGTCAGAGGAAGAGGAACGACCCAAGAAAAAGAGCAAGATTGGGAAGTAGTTTTGGTTTGTTCTGGACGAAATCGACATACTCATGACCCTGGTTGTATAGTGAATACACTTGGAAGCGAACTCTCTCTCCCCTTCACAGAAATGCTGTACCATCAATCTAAAACTGTCATGGTAATCTACATTGAATTCTAATGAAGTACGACTCTTGATTCTAAGCCAATATCTGGATGGATAGATAGATAGATAGTCTGCTCTTTAATTGCAGATACAGAGATCTCTTGGTGAAGGCTCTCGTCACTGTTGCTTGAGCTCACTTTGAGTTCTGATGTATCGCATAAGCAATCGTCTATCGCGTCAGCTCTCCGTCTGTGGCACGACTATTGAAGTTAACCTGGCACAAAGACCCTTATCCCAAGCAGATCTGGTCTATCACTTCGGACAGAGGCGGGTACCTAATGTTGGGAGAAATTTCATGAATATGCATTAAGGCGTGTCCATGTTAGTCATAATTCATCAGCGTCATAGGTCTACGATGAACAATGCACCTCAGCTATGAATAATGCAATGCAGATCTCGGTAAAGTTACATCAGAACCAGCGGTCAGCTCTTTGGCCTTGTGATTATTCGAAGCGCTACTTATTCTTTGCATCCAGGGCTTTTTATTCTCGATCAAGCACTACCTAGTCTATCTGCCTTCTCGGCTATTGCATCCAACCTGACCCAATATCACGTTTCGTCCAATATCAAGTGTTTTCATTTCCGGCCTGCAGGTTTGCACTACATTGTAATACTGCTGATATGTTGCTTCACAACAGTCTATGCTGCCGACGGAATAGTTCTGTATGCCTTAAATATCCCGAAATATGACCCGGATATATATGTATGATGGCATCGAATCGGTGGATTCTTGTCTTCGATGACTCTATCCCGACCTCAGAGTATCCCCGAATCTGGCAAAACAATTGCGCAAAGGACACGGAGTACATAGCAATCAAAATATGAATCTTGACTGCCCAGGTTTCAACTCTACCGACCCAATTTGATGGACCATCCACGGTTAGAACATGATCCTGCCTCAGGCCGCTCATCAAGGTAATGATTGGTTGGTGGCTAAATTTCCGTTCGAAAATCGACGGGAAGTTCCACGGGAGGCTGTCTTTACCCCTGATTGAACAGGTAACCGCGGTACCATCAGTATTCCACGTAGGTGAAGGAGCCAGACAGATAGCTTGCTATATCGTACTTACGCTTGATATGGATGAACTGATGGGATGTTGTCAGAAATGGGGGGAAAATCTTGATATCCAGTCAATCTTATGCACTAAGCTAATTATAAGAGCCACTCTTCTTGATGGTTGGAACATACTCCGTAGATAGACTCGTTTACGGTACAGTAAGGTTCTGAAAGCTGTAGGATCAAAGCTCAAAGTTTCAAATATCCTGGAGCAACATAAAAGAAGTCCGCACTTGATGCCATATACCCCGTACAGACATGTCTTTTGTGTAGAATCGCGCTATCCGTCCTTGGGCAAGTTCAATCTCTTTCTGAAGTTCTAAATCTTGTCTTGGTTTTCTTGACACGTTCAATGTCCTCGGGGACAATAATCAAAGCAAGGATATCTCCAGCCTTTAGAGAGGTAAGCTGTGTAGAACAGGATAAAGTGATAAGTCTTTTTGCTCGATTTGCGAGAAACTTATGACTAAAGTGATTAGATACGTCAATGCTGTTTTGTTTTTCAGGACGAGTATGTGCTTGAGCCTAAGATTTTGTTTGATTGAGTGAAGTGCCCCTTTCTTTGGCGGATTGGCAGTATCTAGTCTAGTTAGTAGTATGGCTCGCTCCAGCGACCACCTTTCTTAGACCTCCACCCCATCACTCTCCGCAGGCCCAGTTTCCCCTGGTTCTTCATATTGTTGTTGCTTCACTTCTCTCGTTCAACGACCCCTTCTTTTTATTTGTACTCAATAATTTTCCCTTCATAGTACTTTATTTTCCTACAATAGTCATTGTGTCTACCTTTTTTCACGCCGCTGTTGAGCTTGATTGGGATTATTTACCGTGGTCTCGGTCGTCCTCTGCTCGTGGTTGACTGACTTCACCCTTTGCCTGTGAAACGGTGGTAAGTTAAGATAGCACTTCCGGGGCTGCAACTCCTCCCTACTTCTGCAAAACCCTCGAGACCGAGGCATCGATTTGTTTATTGCCCTTGCTCCCTTCTGTGCCCCTCCTTCCCCTAGCTGCGTGCAGTAGGAATCTCTGTTTGCTAATTCAGAAGGCGCTATTCAGGGGAACTTCCTTCTTGACGCTCACTACCTTCATCGCATCCCACGCTCGCTTCTAGAATCAACGGATAATTTTTACAATGGGTAAGCCCGCTTTCGATTTTCTTTTGCATCGAGCTACATTCTTGTGTCAATCTGTCCGGCAACTATCCGTCAATTCTCACATGTCATCCTCCTGAGTTCTACGTGCTACAATACAACAATGTCGGTGTCCTCGGAGAATCCCACTGTGGAGGAGAACCTACCACTGGAATCTTCGAGCCCGACCCTCAGTTCGCTGCAACACAGGGCGGGACCGAAGACCATTTCAATATCCTCTCTCCTGCCAGGGACCTATCCGTCTCGAAGTGAAAGCCGATTCCCATATAACTTCGCTGACTCTTCTTCGGATGATGTAGCTTCACCATCCTCTCCTGCCAATGGCACTCCCGCCTCTGTCAAGGAATCACCTGTACCTAGCAGCCCAGGATCTCCTTACGTTGAGCGTAGCAACCCCATGGGTGCCGGCAACGCTCAGACAGTCAGCTCCAAGGATCCAAAAGCTGTGGCTCAAGCTGCCACGGACATGAAGAACGTCGTCCGCCGCAAACTGACCGGCTATGTTGGTTTCGCCAATTTGCCCAACCAATGGCACCGCAAGAGTGTGCGTAAAGGATTCAACTTCAACGTAATGGTTGTTGGTAAGTTTTCTCCGAAATCGTGTTCGGAAGTGAAGCCACTTCCGAAGAAAAAGGCGCCCATCAAAGATTACTGACTTCATATGATAGGTGAATCGGGTCTTGGAAAGTCGACTCTCGTCAACACTTTGTTCAACACCTCCCTCTACCCCCCCAAGGAGCGTACCGGCCCGAGTCACGACATCATCCCGAAGACAGTCTCTATCCAGTCCATCAGCGCAGATATTGAGGAAAATGGCGTCCGTCTTCGCTTGACTGTGGTCGACACTCCCGGCTTCGGTGATTTTGTCAACAACGATGACTCGTGGCGCCCTATCGTCGAAAACATCGAGCAGAGATACGATGCCTACTTGGAGGCGGAGAACAAGGTTAACCGCACAAACATTGTCGATAACCGTATTCACGCCTGTGTCTACTTTATCCAGCCCACCGGCCACTCGCTGAAGCCCCTCGACATTGAGGTCATGCGTAGACTGCACACCAAGGTCAACCTCATTCCTGTCATTGCCAAGGCCGACACATTGACCGACGAGGAGATTTCCCTCTTCAAGCAGAGAGTTAGTAGCCCACGCTTTTCACCGATCACGAATTGGTAACTAATCCTTCACCCCAATTAGATTCTCGCAGATATCCAGCACCATTCGATTCAGATCTTCGAGGGACCCCGCTACGAGCTTGACGACGAGGAGACCATTGCCGAGAACCAAGAGATTATGTCCAAAGTTCCTTTCGCCGTTGTTGGTGCCAACACTGAGGTCACCACAGCTGATGGACGTAAAGTGCGCGGTCGTAGCTATCCTTGGGGTGTCATTGAGGTCGACAACGAGGAGCACTGCGACTTTGTCAAACTGCGCCAGATGCTGATCCGCACTCACATGGAAGAGCTCAAGGAGCACACCAACAACTGGCTCTACGAGAACTACCGGTCCGACAAGCTTACCCAAATGGGTGTCGCCCAGGATCCAAGCGTGTTCAAGGAGGTCAACCCAGCAGTCAAACAAGAGGAGGAGCGTGCTTTGCACGAGCAGAAACTCGCCAAGATGGAGGCAGAGATGAAGATGGTCTTCCAGCAGAAGGTTGCAGAGAAGGAAAGCAAGCTGAAACAGAGCGAGGACGAATTATACGCGCGACATCGCGAGATGAAGGACCAACTGGAACGCCAACGCCAGGAGCTGGAAGAGAAGAAGGCCCGGCTCGAGAGTGGAAGGCCAATCGAAGAGAAGGGAAAGAGGAAGGGCTTTTCTCTCCGTTAAAGTTTTGCTATCCAGTGACTGGAACTCTGATGCTTCTCTTCAAAGAGCGCTACCTTGGAACACCAAAGGTATGCAATGCCGTCGGAGACCTTCCGGTGTCTCTACGTTTGATCCTGCACGACTGTTGATTGACCGAGCGCTCATTTCGACTTCCCTCCATTCTCGTGTGTTTATTTGTTTCACCACGCTCATTGAAACTCTTCTTCCTCGTATCTGCTTCTTCCGGTAACGACTCTACCATTAATTGCGCGGACTAAGAAAAAGAACTAGTCACCCTCTCTTTTCCTTTTCCAGCAAGAATCGTTTCGACATCAAGTGAGATTTGACTGGGAGGTGAGTTGGAACAGGCGAACCGCGAGCGGACAAGTAATATGTCTGTTTGCTCGTGTTGTTCCTTTGCTTCACTTACAGGGTTATGAATGAGCAGGGGCTGCGGCCCGCTCAAGTCGAAATCAGCTGTCTTACGCCCAATTTCCACTTCGCCTCATGTACTTTTCGCCTACGTTATACCTGGTGTCTGCCTGTTTCCTATTCCCCAATGTGGCAAATCACTCGTGATAATCTATTCTCTTGCCCTCTTCTGCCCTTTTCGTTACACATTTTAGTGAAATACCTCACCCTCGACCATCCTTCTCGATGTCCTATTTCCTTTTAAGTCTGCTCTGGTCTAGTTGTCAATTTCAAGTTGTCAAAAGTAATCTCGGTTCTCTGGCTAGATTTCTTGCACCGTATGTGTTGTGGATATGATGTAGTGGAGGATCGAGAAGCGACTAACAAGTAAGGAAAATCAAGATTATGGAAAGCAAAGGAGAACTTAACGAACGGCGATAATCAGAGTTGTTACTCGCACGGTCGTTCAAAAACTTGTATAGCAGAAGTTGAGGTTTGCATTGAGAATGGCCAGCAGTTGCATCATCCCGAGGTAGCTCTCGACGTCACTTAATGACGAGGCGGAGTAGAGCCGCGCATAGCTTCCGGCCCGTTCTCCAGCTAAACCACTTCCAAATAATATAGACTAAACGCACACCCCAAGTCGCAACGTCTCCCCGCCCAGCCTCCCCTCACAGTTTGTCGAAGGATTATCGATCCAGCCAGCCTCAATTAACTGAATTTTGCCCTAATACTGAAAAAAGTGTCTCTACCATTCCATTGTCACTCCTCTTCACAGGATCTTTCCGTCCTTCCTACTTCCTCCGCCTACGCAACACTCGAGATAACAGCTATTCACACAAGCACCCATGGCTCCTCCACCTCCCTCAAACTTGCCACTTCCTGAGAGGCTGAAAGCTCTCGTTCAGACATTACAGTATGTGGACTGCATTGCAGATTGGTCTCATATTTTGGTTACTGACGAAGATGGCGTGAACACTATAGATTTGCTTGGTTTGTTGGGTAGGTCACCGTTCATATTGCAAGAACAGCACTCGATCCGCCCCGCCAGTGACTCGAATTATGAATTTATTTCGTTCTCGGTTTACTCGGCGCCGTCAACGCACATAAACCCTGCGATTTTACCACCAGGGCCCCTTCGAAAGAATGCAGGAGCATTAGCTGGCAGGTCCACTGACCATATACAGGCACGTGACGCTTCTGATCTCGGTTTTCCGTTATCTGTTGTCCTATGTCACCTTCAACTACTACTCCTCGGCCGCACAGGTGACTTATCGCCTGGCATTTATTGCGGCTGCCGGAACATATGGAATTGTTGTGTACAAGGCACACATCGCCCGAGGCCGTCTCCAGGGCAGCGTTCCCAGTATTGCGTTGAAGCTCGCTGGAGACGAAAATGTGCAGTACCTTGGTGAGTGGTTCCCTTGGCGGTTCATTGCTACAATTACTTCTCGGACAGCCTTGGCTTACGAAGTTACGTCAGGAATGGCTTTGGTGTGGCTCTACTCTCGCCAGATCCCTCTGGCTCTGCTTCCCTTCAGCGTGTACTCCGTTTTCCACGTTGCCACCTATACACGTGCCCACTTGATTCCTACTTTGCAGCCTCCTAACCAGGGTGCGACTGGCGTGGCCTCCCCGCCCTCCCCTGGCTCTCCCAAGCCTGCCGCGAAGCAGTCTCCTTTGGCAGATACCATTGGAAGATTTGTCAAACAATATTACGATACCAGCATGGATCTTGTTGCCGGCCTCGAGATGGCGCTCCTCTTCCGATTGGTGGTATCCCTACTCACCTTCTCCAAGGGCAGCATCGTTCTCTTTATCCTCTACCTGGCGTTCTTCCGCGCCAGATATTCCCAGAGCTCTTTCGTCCAGCAGGCTGTCCGTCATTTCACCGCCAGAGTCGATGCCTCCGTCTCTCACCAGAGCACTCCTCCCGCAGTTCGCCAGGGTTGGGAACAGTTCAAGAATGTTGTGCGTCAGGGATACGAGACCACGGATCTGAGCCGCTACACCTCCGGCGCTGCTGCCAAGAAGCCTCAGTAGTCCAGATTATCGAAAATGCTGGCAATGTCTGTGATGAAGAGCGGTCCCACGGAAATCCTGTCAAGGTTCTCCTTCTCTTTCCTGGGAGTTCCTTGGGGGCGCTTGCAGATATCTGTTGCGTTCGCTGATGATTTTTTACGAATATAAAAACCATTGGTCTGACGATGGTCAGGCCTGGCCTGTGGTTTTGAAGACAGGAGTTGGTGGTGAAAAATTATGCGAGAGAATGGCTGAAGTGTGTATGGGGGAGCGGGCACAGGACGTAGTCTCCTTTCGCTCTTATGTTTCTTGCAGGGATACTGCACCTCTTGGATGTGCGACATGCAATGAGATGTTCAATACATCTTATATCCTCATTCACCGTGCGATTATATTGTTGATTGTCGTTGGTCCTCTATTAGCCATTTGCACTGTCTTGGTTGTATCGTTTTTAAATAAGCATATTATGTCTGTCAACCGGCTTTCGAAAGTTCATTAGTGATCTTAAGGTTTCTTGATATTCTTGCCGAATATGTGGAATCCCGTCTAGTTGTCGCCCTCAGTAGGAAATCTCCTGGGTTGACCGGGAATGGTGCCTGAGGCTGTCACAGGGCTCGGGCGGCGGAGGAAGCGGAAAAACCGTCCGAAATTTTGGGAACTTTTTGCGGTGTTTGCAAGAGGCCGATAGGAAGAAACAACCACCCTTCTCTTCTTGTTCGGCATATTGAGAGGTGCGATGTCACCGATCCTTGCCTCTCCATTCCCTTCAGAACTTGTATAATATTGAACTGTATTCTTTTGCGCTTGACTCTCACTTTCGCTTTCATCTTCCCGTCATCTTCACTCGAGGTGGCGTGCTGTCTTAAATCTACGCCGCCGCATCTCAAACCCCGTGGTCTGGCCCGCACCACGACCTGGTGGATTGCGGTGTCCTTGCAATGAGCTTGACCTCGCGTCTCTTAGGCCTGTTTTCGACGACAGAGACATCTACACCTGATTCGCCTACATCGTCTTCATTCTTGCTGAACGCCAAGAGCGGTGGCAATGATGCTTCTCAAAATGCTGGTCTGATGAAGAGGGAAAACGGTGCCGTACGACAAGATGCTTTGATGGATGAAGAGGAGGAGCCCCGGCCTCCATATCTACATGTATGTCAATATAGTCACAATCACCTGGCTCGTGATGGATTGGAGTAGTCTGCGCTATCGCACCAGAGTGGAAGACCTTTGCGACGGGTCCTTTTATCTTTATGTGCTGATCAATGGGTTTCTTTGATTACAGGCAATGCTTGCCGGAGGTACCGGAGGCACTTGCGGCGATATGCTTATGCATTCGCTAGATACGGTCAAGACCCGGCAACAAGGCGACCCTAGTTTTCCTCCGAAGTACACCTCCATGACCTCATCGTATGCGACCATCTACCGACAAGAAGGAGTTTTCCGCGGTCTTTACGGTGGTGTCACCCCTGCCCTCCTTGGTTCCTTCCCGGGAACTGTCATTTTCTTCGGGACATATGAGTTCACCAAGCGATGGATGTTGGATGCGGGGATCAATGCGAATGTAGCATATTTATCTGGAGGTGCGTTGGAAGATGCTTCGCTGGAAGAGTTTAACGTGGAATCATGTTGACATCTTTTTTCTCCTCCCTAGGATTCATTGCGGACCTGGCCGCTTCTGTTGTATATGTCCCCTCGGAGGTGTTGAAGACACGGCTGCAACTCCAGGGGCGCTATAACAACCCATATTTCAATTCTGGATATAATTACCGCTCGACCTCAGACGCGCTGCGAACGATCATTCGACAAGAAGGCTTTTCTGCGCTCTTCCATGGGTACAAGGCTACAATTTTCCGTGATCTACCTTTCTCTGCTCTTCAGTTTGCCTTCTACGAACAGGAACACCGCCTCGCCAAAGAATGGATAGGGTCTCGAGATATCGGTCTTGGGCTAGAGATCTTGACTGCTGCCACGGCTGGTGGCATGGCGGGCGTGATTACTTGCCCAATGGATGTCGTAAAGACTAGAATTCAGACACAGCAGAACCCAGATGCTGTCAAGCCTTCTTCCGCTTCGTCGAAGGGCCCCGCTGAGCACGCTTCTACCAAGGAGACTCCTCGGCAGCATACTTCAAGCCAAACTACTTCGAGCCTCCGGACTCACTCCCGGCCGATCTCAACCGGAGGAGCTTCTACTTCAGTACGGCCCCCTGGAACGCCTCGCCTGGACACCTCGTCATTCTTCACTGGCTTGAAGATGATTTACCAGACTGAAGGATTTTCTGGGTGGTTTCGCGGGGTTGGTCCACGGGGCGTTTGGACCAGCATACAAAGCGGGACCATGCTGGTCATGTACCAGTATCTGCTGAAGCAGCTCGAGGCATGGCAAACTACTGGGGAGACGGGTCCTCTTTAGTCGAACTCCTTATCTTCAACTAAATAGAATGGGCACCCTCGTCGTAGATATATTCGCATCGCACCCGGAACATACGTGTGTGCCTTGGCAGGCTATGTTTTGCAGGGCGTTCTGGCGGGGTTGTGGCATTTTCATTTTCTTCCCCTTCTGCATCGGACCAACCTCTCCGCTATTGCGCATCATGACAAGATGACACAGATCATCACTGTCATTGTTGATATGTATATGTACCATTGCTGGAGGGGTCTTGGTACGGCATTTTGTTTGTTTCTTTCCTCTTCCGCATAGACTCTTAGACGATGCCTAATTATGCGACGTGTACCATAGATCAATCTCTCTTTCTTTTGGGATATCGAAACAAGATAAAGAATCCCGACAGAAATAGAATGAATGAACCATGTTCTCGAGAATACGTCGACGAGAACAAAGAACCGTAAGAAGAGGATTCAATGTTGATCGCTCCCGGGCCAATGACGGCGAGGCTTGCCGAACCGCGCGAAGCAACGGCGATGCGGGACCACAACAACCCGCCAAATGTAAACAAAGCGCCCCAGCCCCACGAGTCACCCCCCTCAGGCAGTCAAGCCTTCTGTTGTCTCCGGCGGTGATGCAACCATCTCTGCCTCTCTCCATCCCCATCTACCTTAATTATTTATTAAATTGAATCCCTCGATTTCCTGTGGTTTCACTGTTGTTTACCTTGTTTGCTCTGTGCACTCGGTATCGATCTCAATAAGCGCTTCCAGTATATATACACAACCCATCCCTTACTCTTTGTTCTGCGCTCGTCGCATGGTCCCCACACTCTTGGTCTACCCGTCTACCCGCGCGTATCACCATGTCAAACGGATTGAATTGGCTGAAGAAGCTACGCAGAGCCGAGGTCAACGAGCTCGCGCATGCTGCTGGACTTGAAGAGTATGCTCCCGGAATGACAGAATAATGAAATAGGGCGCTTCTAATCTGTGCGCAGCTATGCGGATTACAGCAACAAGGACGCGCTGGCCGTCGCGCTCCACAAGTACCTTCAAGATAACCAAACTATCCTGATCAATGTTCCCGAGTTGAAGGAATACTGGACGCGCGCGTCTTCGACATCGCCCGCGCGCACTTCTCCGGTCAAGAAAGCTGTCGGGGTCGACGTCACGCCTGCCCCCAAGAAAGCTACGCCTGCAGCACGGAAAGCCACGCCTGGAACAACGCGTCGGAGGCAAACGCAGCCAAAGAAGGAGGAGGCTGAAGTGACGTAGGTCTCTACCGTCTTGTGTTCTTCCTAGCTCCTTGTCTGTCGCGTTGTCACGTAGCCGGTTTCGCGATAGCTCGGATATGCGCGTGCAGCTTTAGCGACTGTTTTATTGACTTTGTCACGTAGGGACGACTCGGAGGCTTCGGAGGCCTCAACACCGAACCAGGCTACCAGTGCTGTAACAAAGACTCCTGCGCGCTCGCAAATCACTGTCGAGCCTCCACTATCGCCTGCTTTGGTCACAGATGCGATTGATCGGCAGACCGCCGAATGGCGCGAGCGCATCAACGACGCGTGGGTCCGTTCTGGCGTACAGGAATCTTCCAACTGGGTGCGCTCGAAAATGAGCAGCGTACGAGCTGTGGAGACCATCGTGATGGCCGTTGAAGGCGCTTTTCTTATGAAAGACCTCATCCCCATCCGTTACCTGACCACTATCCCTGCTGTGCCGGCGATCAATAGCCCTGAGTTCGCGCTTAGGGTACCCGATCTCTTCATGCTTGTGGATGGGGCCTTTTGGGCCCCGTTCTCCCTGTGGCTGCTTACGAGCTACCTCCTACCATTGCTCTTTGCTTACTTTTTCAACATCAGCTTGCAGGCAAGCGGCAGTCCTGTGCCTGAGACGCGCAAGGGCCACAAGACGCGTCCTGAGTTCGATCCGCTCAGTTTCAATATCACCAAAGCCGTCATCGCGTACGTGGTTTATGCGCATCATTTCAACTTCATGGGTCTATACAGCAACTTCTCCATCGAGAGGGTGAATGTATCGGTCCCCTTCCACTGGCCAGGCATGCTTACCACTGCTGCAATTGGGACTGTTGGCACTCTCTACGAGGCTATTCTTCGCAAGTAGATATAAATATATATGTGCGTCCATGTGTGCTTGTCATTGTCTTGCGGCGGGGTCCGCTCTGGGTTGCGTCGGATGATGCGTTCTTGCGCGGTTGGCGCAAAATTGTCGGGCTCATGAGAAGCAATATAACAAGCAAATCAGCGGTAAGAGAAAGGGTGAAAGGGCGAAGAGGGTCGGACAGTTGAACAAGGAGGCTTCTCGCTCCACTGGGGTGTCAGAATGAGTTGAAGCTCATTTCTTGGATATCTTCTTCTCGGGGTTTAATAAGGCGTGATGTCTATCTGGGTCTTGCTTGCTACAGTTTTTGGTTCTTTTTGTACTCGCTTCAGAGGGAGGCGCCTTGGTTGTATCTGTGGATTGTCGTTTTCTTGTCACTATACTCAGTATATTCTATCCACTTGGTTGGTTTTGGTGTCACGGAATCAATTGATTCATATATTATTTTACGGGCTTCCAGACGGATGGTAATCTCGCGGCTCTTGTCCACAGATCCGGGATAAGCGACGCCTTCGGATCAGACTTCTATATACTTTAGCTTGGGTATATATACATGTGTCAATCACCATCCCAGCGTGAGTCTATTTGAACAGACAAAAAAGAAAAGCAAAGCAACTTCGGAACTGAGACTCCATCACCGCATCCTCTTAAATCTTTGGGCCAGCTCCAACGTAAATAGAACCGGGACCCCCGTGTCCACAGTCACCTCATCGGCTCGAATATGATTACTGGTACTAATTTGGCCTCCAATCTCAGTCAACCAGTCCTCCACATCCCACTCGAATCCATGTGTCGTGATCCTCGCCGGTCCAGAGAGAGGAATTATCCCGACATTCTCCTCCAGCAGATAATATTCATCCTCGCCCTGCTCAGGACACACACCAGGCCTTTTCGTTCTCGGCGTGCGAATAGTGTGCCGTCCCGACTGCAGAATAAACGTGATACTCTCCTCGGAGATCAGATACAGATCCCCGGCCGCCGGCTCACCAGCTACCTCCCGCGTCATCATATACAGATGATGGATCTGCGAGAACGCCTGGTCGACTCTCCCGCCCAGGCCGCCCATGATGAGAATCTCCAGCCGCGCAGACGGCGACGCCGTTGAAATCTCGCGGTTGCCGATGATCTCGACTGCGTGCGCGCGGAGGTACTTGAGACACTTGGTGAAATCTGTTGAGTATTGGTCCGGATCCTCAATGACGGAGACGCCTAGCCCCTCGTAGTGCGAGCGCACGGAGGGGCGGATGGAGTCCAGGTCGCCGATTATGAGGTTCGGTAGCTGGTTTCCGGTTTGTTAGTTCTGGATGGTCCTGTCGCGGTGTAGAGCAGAGCAGGTTGATTTACCTCTTGGGATTCCCTCCCCTGCTTGTGCATCATGTCGTAGAAGCGGTTTGCGCCGCCGTCGGCGCAGATGGTGAAGCATGCTGGGAACTGGTTAGCCGGGGGTTTGATTCTGCTAGAGGATTGTATCGAGAGTTGCGCTGTGCAGGCACATACCATGTTTCTTCAGGACTGCAAAGGCTCTTTCGTTGATTGGCTGGTTGAGGACGAGGAGCGCAAATGGAGCAATGGGCTCGCTCGAGTCGCAGAAGAATTGAGTTGGGTCCCACTCCGTTAACATTGTCGCCTGATGAGTTGGATTTCCAGGATGATTCGATCTATTTCTCGTCTGAACTGAACTGAGCCCAATCTGTGTCCGGTTACACTGGTTGCGGGCTGGAATGCCGATGCGATGATGTTCTTACTGCGGTGATGTCACGCAGGGCGTTAAAGGATATATAAGTATCTATGGCTAGACAGGCAATCACTTTATCAGCTTGATACTCATATGGGCTGAATTGTCTTTGGGGTTGGGGAGCCGCTTGTCTCCAATTGTGGTGAAGAACGATGCTCTCCGCAATTGGGAAAAGTCTACCTCTACTGAAATTCTATATGGAGGGGCTTAACCTGGTTGTAGTAAATTGCAAAAGGGACTGGTTATGGTTGATCTGACAATCAGATTAGCGCTTCATTCGAGAGAATCTAGCAAAGAGGCCTTGCCTTGATAGTTTCACTTCCCATCTACTACTGTCTATGATTGGCACGTTAGTCTTCAATCTTGATGTTCTCATTCACGTCATATATATATCTATTGTTATGGCATCCCAACTTTCACGAACACTAAACATTCCTCTTTTAGTCCAGAGATTTACTTTCACATAACAGCATGATAAGCATAAAGTCAGTCTCCGAGGTCAGGAATTGAAGACCGAATTAATCAGCGCAACTCTTATAATGGTAAGCACTTGCAAAAAGAAGATGATGGAAGTAGATATGTACGTCATCTGATTGGCCGGATCGAACGTGACCACCCACCTTACTCTCGAAGTGGAAATTTGTGAGCCTCAGGCTGGCGGGACATCACCAATTCGTTCACATCCTCTTTCTCTCCGCTTCGCACCGGTCTGGCCGGCCATATCCTCCTCAAGTCGCTATCGCATACCGATTGAATGACTTCATCGTCGGTTTAGTATTTACTCTTCATATCTCTTGCCTTCTTTTCTCACATCCCTTCCCCATCATGTTCCGTCCCGCGACCAGAGTTCTCCTCCGCGCGCCGGGCGTCGCAGTCCGTGGTCCTGCAAGCAGACGATTGATAAGCACCGCTCCCCCAGACACCAAGTCGAGGAGTTGGAAGAGTACCATTGTCCGTCTGGGGTTGGCCGCTGGAGCTGTATACTACTATAACACGAGCAGTGTCTTTGCCGAGCAGCCGTCATGTATGTGCGAAATCCCGGGTTTGGCCATCACCTTTGATTCGGTCATAGCCTTTTTTTTCCCCCTTCCTACACAATTGGATCCATACGTTTGAACGAGCAATATTCGGAAAATAGCAAGCTGCTTTACATATAAAATATGAATCCT